TAAAATATCTTCTTTCAGTCGGCTCCTGATCTCGTTCAAAACTCTTTTACCTGCACTAAAAGCAGACCCGAAGCAACAGTGCTAACCGGAGGTGTCAGCAGATCTTTTGCAATCGAAAATATAACTGACCAACGTCGTTCATACCTTCGCCATAATTCAATTACTTCGTCTGAACTTTTTTTAATTGTTTTATTTGTTGGCATATTTTGGTTGAAATAATTAATTAATTCAGCAGGCAATGCATTATGGCTTGAGCCCGTAGATGTTTGATGAGAATGAGATACAGATGTAGACGACATGACAGTGGCAGTAGATGAACACATTGCAGATGAATTATATCTATACGAATTAATGCCTTGAAATAAATTAAATATTTCTGCATCTTCTTCTTCAATTTTAGCGGAAGGAGTAGGTGCAGATGGTACTCGACTAATATTGGTACCCATTCGATTTGTATATAATTCATACATTTTACATAATATTTGCTCTAAATTTCTACATGTGAGAGGTGTATCAAATGTTAAGGCGTTTGAAATTTGATCAATTATGTATTTAGTTCCCGATAAATTATATCGGGGGTCCGTCACGCATGCTGAAGGAAATAACATAGATAAGTCTTCCCAATATTTTCTAAATTTTAATTCCATAACAATTATAATTTCACTAAAATCAGGATCATTTTTGTATTTATGAAATGTTCTTGCAATTATATAAAGACGATCAAGCACCATACAGCTAGTGGGATAGTAAACGCTCGATAAAATTTTAGTGGTTTCATAAAAAGATGTCAAAAATCTTTTGACTTTCAAAACTATTTGCCAATCACGTTCAGTCAACATACCCTCGTCATCACTTCTAACATGTCTATTGTTATAAAAGTCAGTTATTAAATGTTCAAAATCTTCACATGACTTTAATCACAAGTAAGTAAAGTTCCATCTATGAGCTACGTCGCTAACAAATGTTTAGCATTTTGCACTCCTATTTCGGCACAATAATCCTCAAATGCTTGTTTTCTACTTGGGGAGATTGTGATATATATTAGTGCGTTCCTAATATTTTGAAATTCATCATTTATATGTTTTAAACCGTCTTGGACAATTAAATTCAAAATATGACATACACAACGAATATGAAACAAATACCCACCAAAATCAGGTAGCAGTACCCTATGCAATTTATCGACAACTACTTTATTAACACTAGCATTATCGAAAGTAAATGAACGAATTTTACTTTCGCAATGATATTCTCTAACAATATTAATAATAGCATTAAATATATTATTAACGTTGTGAAGAAACTCAATAATTTTAAAAGCAATAATTTTTTTATGCATGCACCAAAGTGGGTCTATATAATGTGCAGTTGTAGCTATATATGCTCTTTTATTAATCCCTTCCCATATATCCGAAGTTAAAGATATGACACCCCCATATTTTTGTAAATCCATTATTAATTGTTGTTTTGTTTCAGTAAAATATTGTATTGTATTGTATCGGAACGAAGAGTGTTTCGACTTACTCCAACGTACTTTGGATAAAGATATTCTTTCACATACAAGACGTAGTGTTGGTTGTCAATTAATGCCAAAGACAACTCAGCACCAGCAACAAATTTCGCCATTCCGGTTCAAGCTCTCTCCTCCGAATACACCCATGTGGATAGGGATGCAGCAGAACCACCGACATCTGGACTGCCAAATTGCAATTGTATTTGACAGCCTGGAATAAGTCCATGTTTGGCCGCACGTATTTTGTAATGGCGGTTGAGATGGGTGGTACCAATTCTTCTTTGCCATGCCAATCTTTGTTGGCAGTATTTACATACTACTTTGGATTTTGGGACTCCATTGACGATTTTTTCCGTTGAAATCAATTTAAAGCGATCCCAACATTTTGCTTGTTTTTTCCCCTTTCACTTTCCCCTCGCATCAGGAATGTTTAATTCAGCCTCTTCTTCTTGATCGTGTTCCGCTTCGAGAACGTCAACATCATTCAAATTAATTGGATAATTTGGATTGCCGCTTACATGATGATGAAGATCCAAATCTGGAATATCTTCAAGTAGCGGTACGTCATTTAGAACTTCAAACTGATTCCGAAATTGACTTTGCGTTGTCATAGGCGATTCATTTCCTCTTACACCGAACAAGTTTTGGACAAATGTGCGTGAATCCATCTGTTTAATTGTAATAAGTAATAACTAGTAAAAGAATAATTGTATAAATGTAGCGAGAAAGGAAAATTGGATGAAATTTCAATAAATATAGTGAAAACTGAGAAATGAGAATTGAATATTGTATAAATAGTATATAAAAATTGCATAACTATTAACACAACACAAGAGAGTTGAGAGTGAATTATAGAAATTTTGTGGCTAAATGCCACTATTTATTGAAGAAGAAGAGAGAAAAAAAATAAAAAAATTAAAGGACCAAAACGGTTATAAATTTAAAATAATAATAATAAATAAATTTTCAGGGACCGAAACGGTCACTTTTGTGACCGTTTTGGTCACTTTATAAATGAGCCAACGAGTAGCTCGTTTAATTTGCGAGACGAGCGGGCTCGGCTCGCCCGCCGAACCGGCCAGCTTGGCTCACTCTCAGGCTCATGTTTTTACGAGTCCGAACCGCCCACGAACTCCGTTTTCGCGTGCCGAGCGAGCGAGCCGTTCGGCTCATTTGCCACCCCTACTCGTACCGCCATCAATCTTATTCCTATCACAATTAATTTTGGCAGAAACCAGATTAAAGTAAACCATGGGTGGCAATCTCTGTAGAGCTGTAAAGTGCCGGAGGTTACCTCAACGGCCTTCGCCGAGGGCCGAAAAAACGCAAGGTTGCCTTAATCATGGCCATTAACTGCTTCTCTTAGTATATAATCAGCTGGAAATCATGATAAAAATGGCTGTAGGAATGAATTTTTCCTCTTGTGTTTTGGGTAGTGGAATATTGACTTGAAGAAATTGGATCCTTCCGGTGGTTGAAGGCATGCCAACTCCTCTCCATTTTTTTCTTCATTTTCTTGTGGCTATTTGTACATTCCATTTGTTCCTGGATTCTTCCAAAAAATGGGTGAATATGGCTAGCAATAAGGGGAGCAAACAAGGAATAATTTGGACCTACCCACTGGAAAATTTTTATTGAATAAATGACTACTTTTTGCTTGTGGTTTTTGATTGTGGTTTCCTTGTGGTTGTCTGCAACTTTGATTATTTATTATTATTATTATTATTTTTGGCAAAAAATTCCACTCTTTCTTTTTGCTTGCTGCAACTGTATTTGTGATGGGATTGTTTAACCCGAATTTCCTCACCTTTTTTGCCGGAAAGAGCCAGTTTTCATGGAGAAAAATTCCTTTTTTTCAAGGAAATTTTCCAAATGCTTCAGCAGCCATTTTTCTTCCTCTTTGCGTGGTTTTTTGGTGGCTTTTTTGTACGTGGTGAAACATAGTTAATGAATTGTTTTTCACAAACGATGTCAATCTATTGACCTCCAAAAATGGCGCCAATAGATGCCCAGGCTCGCCTCCTCTACACCTGCACACAGAGCACCTTGTTAGGAGACAAAGGTCGTCGACAGAGAAAAATGTCTGACGATCATTTGCACTCCGACGGTCAAGTCAACGATCGAAAGGGAAATATATATAGTGCAATAGTTGGGAAAGGGAGAATTTGGTTAAGGTTTAGAAATCATCCACCTAGAAATCGAGTGAATTCTCATATATATAGACAAACGAAATGGGCCTAACTCCAAGTCCAACACGAGGTGGTTTTATAAGCATTGTTATGAGTACTTCCGCAAACACTTCAGCAGGACCTCTTAGGGCCTCGATGGCATTTTTGAAGACACCTCGACTAGCCTCTTGAGAGCCTCGGTTGGATCTCTTACAGCCTCGATGGACATCCTTGAAGGTACGTTAGCAGGCATTTCAACCATCTCAACAAGCACTTCGATCATCTTTGAAGGCACCTCAGCTTACCTCTTGGAGCCTCGGCTTGGCTTTGTAGGCACCTCGATTGAGCTTTGGAGATACCTCAACTGGCTCCCTTGAGAGTCTCAACTGAATTAGTAAATTATCGTGGTGTCCCACGTGGCATTTCATATTCGACTAGCAACAAAACTCATTGTGTAAGAATCGTTCTGACTAATGTAGATACGTTTGAAATTGATGTGGACTCTAGTGATTTTAGTGATGATCGAAGGTGATTGTCTCGAGAAAGTCTAAAAAGGAACGATTAATTTAGGATAGAGCTTGTTGTCTAGTCATCTTAGTTGACTTAAATTAGGAGCTTGAGACTTGTATGCGTAACTCATTATCTCAGTCAAGTCCATGACATCGAATTTGATTTATTATCATTGAGATAATTTATTCGATAATCGTTGAACTTTGTTATAGGTTACTACTTGCTTATCGACCTTTAAAAAGTTATTCTTTGCTCACTGAACGTTACTATAACTTACCATTTGCTCATCAAAATTTAAAAGGTTATTCGTTGCTCACTTAAATTTGAACAAAATTATTCGTTGTTCATTGAAATTTGCTACAAGTAATATTGATAAAAATGATATGAGTAATATTGTTTAATTTTGGATGAGCAACGAGTAATTTTTTAAATTTTGCTGAAGAATTAGTAACTTATAACAAAATTCAGTGAGGATCGAGTAGCTTTTTAAATATCAATAAATAAATAGTAATTTTAGCAAAGTTGAGTGACCATTGATAAACTAACTCTATTATCATTTGATGCATCTTGAGAGGAACAAAAATGCAAAATTGCAAATTGAGAGATTCCATAATTCCAATTTGGAATTGGAATATGTCAACGGCGATGATGACGTCTGTGACCATTTCAACGTGCGGTGACGGCAACACTTACCCTAGAAGTAGTTTTATCTTAGTCACTAAGGATTGTTTTGTCCCATTTTAGTCCCTCAAGTTTGAAATCCCAGTTTAGTTCCATCCAAAAGTAATTGTTGTTAATATTTTTCCTGACGTGAACCCAAAGTCCCAAATGGACCGCCAGATATGACCAATTTGTTTCTTTTAAGAATTACATGTAGATGGCTTGCGAGAAACGAAAGTGCAAAATCGGAGTGTTCTATAGAGAGAGTAGAATCAATTCGAAGAGAAGTAATTTGTTTATGCAATTATATACACAATAAACAGATAGAGAGAGGAACGAAAGTTCTAGAGAAACTGCGAAATGGTGCTGTGGGAGATCACTTTGGGAACGGCCTATTTTCTGGGTCTGAAACGAACATACAGACTGGCTCTCAAGATTCAGCGCAAGCTTATTAGTCCCAAACATCCTAAGATCCGTCAATTTGCTCAAAGGTAACCTTTTCTACCTTTAATTTTTTTTTCTTGGCTTTCAATATTTTTTGGATGTTGTTGAATTTTATGGGTTTGATGTAATTGGTACTGGTGTTATAAAATACAGTGATTTGATGTTCTTTGTCAGTGTAGTGAATAGTGATGGCGCATGATGAATTTTGTGGGTTTTATGCCATTAATACTGTTATTAAGAAATACGGCGATTTTGATTTTCTTTGTCAACGTAGGGATAATTGGACAAAGATTACATGCGATATGAAGCTTGATACTTTGCATGATGAATCCAGCTATTGGTTGTCCTTACAATGAATACGAATAACCTGCCCTCCAGTTTTGTACGTTAGTTAGCTAAGAAACAACTAGGATGTTATCGAGTAGATTAATTAAATTAACGAGGTTGGGCAGAAATGAAGTGTGTATTGTAGAAAAGGGTTAGAGATTAAGAAATTCGTGATTTGATTGGAGAAACTGGTGACATATTAAAGGAATTATTTAGTTACGAGAGAATATTAATGATTCGTAATTCTGCATTCTGATAAGGAAATTAATATCCAATAACCTATTTGGAAGAAGGCAAGCGGGGGGAGGGAAAGTGAAATGATCAATACAATCTATGCTTGGGAGAAATTGGAATGTTAAAAGGGATAAATTTTTCTTTGTTCCAGTCATTTCTTTCTTTTCAGTTTAGGTATCATATTCTGTATTCGGACCTCAATAGAATATTCCCGCGAAACTAAATGAAATACCTTTTATTTCTTTTATAATGACTTTATAGAAGCTTCAAAACTTGCTCTTTTGTAAAATTAGTGCTTGTTTGATGGTGCTTTTTAGTGCTTATAAGTTGTGGGTTCTACAGAATGTTTGGATAATAAGTGGATGGTAAGTTGTGGGACCTGTGAAATGTGTTAAAAAAAAAAATGTATATTTGGCAAGCTTAAATTATAATTTAACCTTTGCCAAATATGATGTTAGTTTTTACTCCACACTGTCCAGCATTTATTAGCCAGAAAGCTTCTTGTTATGATTTTTCGATGCACAAGGAAATAATTAAAATTGGGAGGGCATGTGATCATATAGCATTGCTTAGAGAAACACTGTAATATTCTTTGTTTCAAACTATATGATTTTAGTTTCCTAAGATTCACTGGAAAATTTTTGTGTTCCTTTACATGGGTTGTACACACAATCAGTATATATTACTTTTCTACAACAGAATAATTTAGGGCTCAAAATTTCTGGAGTTTAGGGAAAATAATGGATCTTTAGTAACGAATAATTACATTATTCATCACTTTCTTATGTTTTTGCTGCAATCTTCTTGTTTATTGTAGTCCTCTGAATTATATAAGATGTTCAAATGATTGTCATTTTCAAGATATCTGCTTTATACTTCTGAATGGACTCTGTCATGAGTTAACACTCTCTTCTAGTTGCTTGGTATCCAATCTTCTAATTAAAGCCTGTGATGTCCTTTTCTTCTTTTCATTTTCTTTATCGGCATGCTAGCACTCTTCAATTGTTTTGATGGTTCATTTTAATGTTTTACTTTTTCAAGTATATTTAACTCGTGAGGCCATTTCATATGTATTGTTAGCAAGAATCAAGAATATTTCTTTCACTTTCCATGCTTAAGTGGTTAGAGAGGTGGAATGTGAAAGCATGCCATCACGGTGTGGGAAACTCAAAATGATATCAAAATATATTCGATGCAAAAATAGGCCCAGATGACCAGTTGGTTTTCGTAATTCTCTCATGTTTAATGGGCCAGTTGGGCCATGACGTAAAGAATGTGTTGCCTGAACGAGGATGGAACTTTTAGAATTTTTAGCAATCTTCGGGAATCCTCGGGAAGTGTTTGGAAAGTATTTTTGTAAGAACAGAACATGAACTTTATTCAGTTTCTGCAAGCAAAAGAAACTGATGTAAAGTTAAAGTTTACTATCTCTAATACTTTTTTCTATGTTCGAGAATTTTCAAAAGTTGCATGAGTTCACTTGTAGTTACTTATAAAATTTTGAATTTGATTCTCCATGTAATCCAGTGTTCCATTCCCTATCATATTCCTCGAGTACATTGTCCTCTTCTATTTTGTAACTTTCACTTCCACTCTACTCATTGGTTTCTATATCTTTGCCAATTTTCAAATAGCCAATATATTTCTTCGTTTCGACCCTTTACAGTCCTTGCTACAGTGCAACAGTTATACTTCTGTATTGAGTTATGTTACATCCATTAATGCAATAATTTGCTAGAGGAGTTTGAGTTGATGCAACTTCAATTTCATTATTGTGGCTCAACTTTATTGGTATTTGCTTTACCAAGTTGAGATTAGCTTACCTTGGCTAGTTGCGGTGAATTGACCATTTATGGCAGTAACTCTTTGCAACCAACTGATTCTTGGAAAGGGGGAGAAAAGAGTCCTAAAGCAATAATAAAGTTAACAAAATATTGATTTAGTCATTTGAATTTCACTCCTTAAAAATTTCATAGAAAATACTTTCTTATGAGAACGTTAATTATATGTAGTAAACAGGTATTACAATAAGAGTTGTACTTGAAAACGCTAAAGGTTGGGTGGTTGAGTTATAGGTGCCATCAGCAGAATTCTATTGACGGCAAAAATATTATTGAGGAGCAGATTCTCCTGGCTTCATTGACGGTATAGGTGCTGATCTACAGCTGTCCATTACCATCTTTCATGAATCTTTCTCAAATTTGTGAATTTATTGGGTCAAAATGTGAAACACTGAACTGCATATCAGCCTGAAAGATGTTGGCTGATAGGAATTAAACACTAAACGTTTAATCTGCCTGCTGCCTGCTCTGTCTGCTGTATCTATTGATTTAAGTATGAGTGCCACCTCTCACAAGGCTAGATCTGTTATTTGGCTTATTTCTATTAGAACTGAATTAATCTGTAGGACTAGCAACTCAAGTTGTAGAAGAATTCCTCTTGAAAGGTCACTTTGTAGTTGATCTTGCTGGTTATTGACAGATTACATATTTGCTCATGTAGTTCGAGTCCCCTCAGGACCACTGAAATGAGTACTCGGCTGTAAACTTCAGGATCTTAAAAAAAAAAAAAGCATATTTGCTCAAGACCTTTTATCTAGTTGTTGCATTAGTAATCATTCTTCCATTTTATTCATAGTTTGTTTGTTACTTCTGTCATTTTTGATGTCATATCTGTTGTTTATTTAGCCATTTGACATTAGGGGACCATGTATACCTTTCAGGTTGGTTACCATCAATAGATTGACTGAATGGAAACTCTACGTAAGAGGATTAGACTTGGTCGATATGGTATAGGGGGTGCAGGACACTAGTCATCCTTAACTTTGCTAAAGATTTCGTTTCAACCCTTAACTTTGTCTCTGTCTTTGGGGTGTGAGTGAATTTGTCCATTTAACTTACCAAATGTTTCATTTTTCTGCTTTTATCTTTTTATTTTCAAGTGTCTGATTGGCACCAACACAGATTATGAAGCAAAATAACAGAAAATAAATTTGTAATTGTATTCTACAAAATCCCATAATACCACCCGCCTACTTTACTAACTGAATGGAAATATTCATGTGCCTTTGGGGCCTATCAATCTTCAGCATGTACTTATTAATGGATGTCAATTGAGGCCATGTTTCCCCTTTCCCCTTACCTTTTCAATGACAGTCCAGCAACGCATGAATGATTGCCACCAGATCACTTTAATTTCCCTCAAAATTAGCACTTGTAGGTTTCAATTGATATAAGAAAAGCCAGGGAGCTACTATAAAACTTTGGGTGAGGTTTAAAGGCTGCAAGTTTGTTTTATTGTTATTGGCTGCCATTCATAAGATGTCATTACAATTTATTTTCTTGAGCAAGGACTCTAGTTTGTTTTATATGTTGGTTATATTCCTTTGGATTTCAGACGAACTCGTGCTGCATTTGATGTTGCACTCACAGTTCATCGCAAGATACAAGAAAGGGATATTGAAGTTGGGCGAAACCTTGGCAACTGGATCCTTCGATGGCTTGATAAAATGAAGCCATCAGCTCAAATCCGAGTAAAGCACCCCTCCGACAGGACTGCCAACACAAACATGAAAAAACCGTTGAATAACTCATCGCACCTGAACAATCAAGGAGGGTTTCTCAAATCCGGTTCAAGAAGTCAGTATAAGGAATCCACTCGGCATCTTTTTACGGCAGCAAGGAACATGTGGCCGAAACCCTTTCCTTCCGTTGCAATAATGATGCAACCAATGAGGCCAGCCGGAAGTCACATCCAGTACAGGCAATTCAGCACTGGAGGCTGTGAGCCTTTCACGGTGGATTTTGGAAAATTTGGTTCTGGAATAATTCGGAATGATATAAGGCAGTGGATACTGCAGAACTAATCGTATTCTTTGATTTATCTTCTCTCTAGCACGTCAATGGTTTAAACCAAACACTACAATTCAGTTTACGATTAGGTACAATTCAGGGCCTTGATTTTCTTTCATGGGTTTACGTAAATTCCTTTTGAGACTTCATTTTTCTTATTACATATATGTTTGTGTGGGTGTGATAGAGACGGTAACAAAAGAATAATCTGTTTTTGCAATAAATTTATGGTCGGTTATATGCATTCCTTTTTGTTAACGTTTAACTTATTTATTCTATTTTTAAATATTATGAATGAGTATGTTCTAAATACACGTCCTAAGTAGGTCAATATTAAATATGGATTAAACTAGATGTACAGCACTTGTTGTACATCATGGTTCACAACCTCCGCACAATGAGGGGGCCTCAACTCCATTTTTTTTTTTTTTTAATGTGTGCGGCCCCCTCCGATGTGAGGGGGCTGTCAATCGTGCTGTATGCTGAGCTGTGCACACAGCATGGTCCATAAAATATTCCCAGACCCTATAATTTATTTTAAAATGCTGCATTGATAATCAATTTTTATTTTTATTTTTTTCATATAAATTTTCTTTTGATGCTATATAAATATTATGCAGGACAAATAGCTTCAGGGTAGTGAGTTATGTCGTTCAATTTTAAGAACTAGAGCTAATCAGACTTTTCCCAAAATCAAATCTAGTAATGAATTGGTAAATCAAACAGGAAGTAATTTTCATCTTAGATAAATCTCGGAAGTGGCCATTTTGAACTCATTTTCTTCATTCCCAAGTTGTGGGAAGTTAAGGCAATAACTGCTGATACAAGACCCTTTGAGGCAATAAGCCCTGGGATGAGATCTCTTGTTCGAAATTGGCTATCTAACTTGCTGTTAATCAAATGATTCATTGATACATCATTCCAAATTAATATGTTCAATTTTTTTCTCAGAGTCACTCGTGCTTAAAAATATATGTAAAATGATGTGTCAATGAATTATTGGGTAGATAGCAAGTTAGACAGCCAATATTGTACAGTAGATTTCAACTCACATCCCTAAGCTTTGTAAAGTTGATTGACGAGCTCTTTTCTTTGATCATAATTAGAATTTAGATACGTTCGAATATTGCGCAAACACTAGACCTAAAACAATTTAATTTGTGACCTTCATATATTTGAAGTCAAAGTCAAATATTAATTTTGATCATATATTTACAACCATTATTTTTTAAGAGGGAAATCCTTGCATTAACTTGAACACGAACCAAGCTCGAATAAAAAAAGTAGATTTCAAATTGTGAGATAGTGACAATATTGTCCCTCGTCAAACGAGTGCCCAAGGGCCATATTTCCCTCCATAAAGCAATGGAATTAACACAATGTTTGTTGACGTTCAAGAACTCAACAATAACAGAGACAACACCGAAGATGTATCTAAAATATATATGACAAAGTAAATTTTTTAAATGAAAAAGAAAGCAAGAACGTCAAACAACAAGAAGAAAATGTTGGAGGAAGTGTAATGCAGGATTTTCTTCACCTTCAAACAAGAAAACACCAATTTATTTATGGATTGTAAACACATATCTTCCGAATGTAAGTTCCATAACTGAAATTGCGATGAAAATAGGTAGAAATTTGGATTCAACGCACTTGTTCTTATTCATTGCTGGTTGTGGCATTGCAAATCCAACGGCCACAGATTTGCTTTCCGAGGCCTTGGTTAGCCAAATTTGGCCAGCCACTTCAATTCTTCCCATTTGATCCTCGTTCTACTATTGATCCATGACTCGTGTAAACTCTTTGATCATCCTACAATGTCTAAACAATATTTTTAGAAAATCTTTCCACTATTCGTCCTCCATTTTCAAAATTAATGTTTTGAAAAAACACTAGAATAGATTCACCAAGTTCGTGAATAGATGAAGGTGTCGTTAGGATTTGAACCCCTGCTTAGTGGAAGGACCTAAAATGCTAACCAATGTGGCATGGTAGTTAGGCTTTGAATCAACGATCACTCCACTTATAAAATTGAATAAATCTTCAAGTGTTAATATAATCAACACGCGAATAGGTCATGTATCCAATATCCCAGACAAACCACTTTGGAGATGGCACCATCCTTTATGCTCATATGAGTAGACTTATCGAGAATATCTACATAACTAAAGTATTCAATAAATAAGCATTTTATAAGTCTATTAAAAGCTAGATAGTTAATTCTTACATTTCATGTTACGCATACCAAACACTTTTACCTTGGGACAAATATATAGTGTTTGCAATTATTCATATGATGTACTTTACTTATTGAACCTAAGATCTTGATGTTTCAAGTGTTAGGTCGAATTTTAATCATTGATGATTAATTTTTTTGGCTGCCGTCCCAACATCTATGACATTAGATGAATCAAGGCTTTTATGTTAAGCTTTTAGCATGTAAGTGTTAATGTTTACACTCCATCGATCTCATGATAAAGTTACTTTGCAAAGCAACATCGATTGATTACATCTAATACCATCATTTTGAATAATCAATCCATTCAATTTTCTCTATTGAACTTTACCTAGACCTTAGCGTTTGTACTTATATAGAAGATTTAAAATCTCAAATTATTACGATTTTTTCCCCCTAACTTCACCTTATGAAAACGATAACTTCTAAAACCTATGTTATAAAACCAATATGTAGTGATTAATTGACTTTGGACTTATCTTTGTTTAGGGCACAGACTTGTTATTATACTTTTTGATAGCACAAGAGAAATATGTGAAAACCCTAACCTAATTCTCTCACATCTGTCAGCCGTGATCTGCTCATGATTTGGAGTTCCAAATTGCTATCATTGTGTGATTTTTCATTAGAGAGGTTGAACGTCAGGCATCTATGGTATATTGAAATCATGGTAGAGCAGGTTCAAAACCGTCTCATGTTGGGAAATTATTTAATTTGCCATTTGGGCCAACGTACATAATTAATTGTGTATAAATATTATTTTAAAGTTAAGTCCACGATTAAAGTGATCTGATAAAGAGTTAAGTAATTGGGCTTAGAGCACCTAAATAAATTGTGGCCGGATTATATGTGTAGGGACCGGATTCTTTTAGAATTGTATTTTATGATGAGCAAAATACATATGAGAACCATATATAGGGTTATGGTCATTAATTCATATGCAACTTCTCACTCTTTGTATCATCCCATCAACAGAAGAATTTAGAGAGAAGACGTATTGAAGAGGAAGATCCGAATCCCACAATCAAGAACATATGATTTATAATCAAGAATAAAGATGAAGGAAATCGAGAATCAAAGTTATGTATCAAGAAGCAAAATCAAGAATAAGAATCAAAGAATTCAATGAGGCAAAATTCAAGATTGAAAGCAAGAAACCAGTCAAGAAGGATTCCAAGTCGATTTTCAAGATTTAAGATTCGGAATCAAGATCCAGTTTAAAGAATGATTCTCAAAGACTAATTTTCTTGGTGATTTGGCATAGATGATCTTAACAATAAAGTAATTTGGTTTTCAAGTTTTTTGAGATTTGAAAGTTCTATAAAATATCAACAAATGATATCAAAGCCGTCTCCATATTAAACCATTGGGATTAAATGCAGCTCTTGGGCACTGTGTTCACATCACCCAGCAAATTGTTGGGCGTACACAGTACCCATGGCGCTGCAACGCCTGTTTGTGTAGCTTTTAAAATTTTTTTTCTTTTTAAAAAATAAAAATAAAAGGTTAAAGATTCAACAATATAAAGGGGCAATCAATTTCAAATCTTGATATTTAAAGTTTCTTTCGAATTACTAATTTTCTAAAATAAATTACTTGAAACAACATGTTATCAAAGTAACATCTTTTGCCTAAATTAATTTATTTGAAATATTAGGAAGGTAGTGTATACGTAATTCATACAGATATTCATCGACCCAAAGGAAGGTTGATATTTGGCAGAATTATTATACACCTATAGTAATAAATATGTGACAATTGTAAAGTTTTTCATTATATGAACATTGAGTCGGTCCAAAGATAGTTTTGATGTTTGATCGAATTTATTGTCAATATTTGATTATTATACCAAGAGTACCACTTACAAGTTGATATTTCTATTCAAAATCTTGTGATGTGGCTCACCTTTATTTGAAATTATTGATTGTCCAATATGGACTTTCATGTGAATATGTTATTTAGGTTTATGTTCTCTATTCGGTTAATCCTTCTACTTTTGTAATATTTGTCAACATCATTTTCAATTTCTGTGCTTGAACCAATGTTTAAGGACTGGAAAAAGAATGTTTGTATCGTTCTTGGTGACATGAATTTAGACTTTACTTTAAGGACTGAATAATTCACTACTCTTATGGATAAGAGTTTCGCTAATGAAATAGGACTCGAATAAGTGAGATTGTTCAAACTGCATAAGTCTTATGATCATGCAACATAAAATTTCAGTAACATTCAGGGGACACTCTGTCCAATAAAGTAATTGCCAAGAAATTTCTTAAATAAATATTCCAAAATGCTTTGCGAGAAGACAATGAGGTTGAAGCTAGTATATTTCTAGCAAACTTGATTTCTCTACAAAATGAGGCTGAAGAAAAATAGGGAGACATTATGGATTGTCTCATCTTGTTTTAAAACCTACGACATTAAATTTTGAGCTATCTAACGATTTGCTCGTGCGTATGGTTTTAATTTCTTTTCCTGCACAGTTCGGTTAATTTAATGTTAGTTACAGCTGTCAAAAGGGAAAATAAGCTCTTAATTCATATTGTGTACAAGAATGAGAGAGTCTAAAGCAGGAAAAAATTGGATGTACTCACTTGCAAGTACCTCTAAAGACAAGTTAAAGAATAAAAAAGTTACATCTGGTTCGGTTCAAAAGAATCAACAAACACCTGAAAAGGATAAATTATTTAACTGTTACTTTTGTGAAATTTTGTAACATATGAAGAGAGATTGTACTAAATACCATGCTTGACATGTAAAGAAAGTACACTTTTCACTTTGTTTGTTCTGTGATTAATTTAGTTTGAATACCAAGACACATTTTGTGGATAAATTCGGGTGTCAATATTCATATGTGGGGCAGTCTAAATAATCTAAAGCCAATTGATGCTGAAAGATTCATTTATGTGGGGCGATGACAAATCAGTTAAAGTTGAGGTTATAAGGTTTTTAGGTTATTATTAAAGCTTGGTTATTATTTGAAATTGATAGATAAATTTGTGGTACTG